AGTCGGAACCACGAGAGTCGGAACCACGAGAGTCGGAACCACGAGAGTTGGAACTACGAGAGATCAAAGCAGCGAAACGAAAGCTAAGCAACTTGTTATTTATGCGGAAAAATAGGTCATTTTTCTAGAAAATGTCTGATTTAGTCTGGTAATTGAGAGAAATAATGTTTATTCTTTTTAGAGAGAAACAATAAAAGTGTTTACCATAGCTTTGTAGGGAAATTTAGAATAGAAAGCAAACGTTGCAAATTTTTTAATAGTTCCGAAAAATCAATACTGATTTAAATTTTAACAATGTCAGGGTCAACTCGAGCGTTATGAAAACTTTGAAAAATACCACACAAAGCATATTTTTGTAGAACAATGAGATTTATAAAATTAGAATGTTGAAATTTGATAAGTTGCAAACAGTTACTCTGCGCTGCGCTAGTCTGATCATAGGGATGTTTCTAAACAGTATTCTGGTGCAATCTGAGCAAAATGCCACGTTGAGATCCTGTCCTATTATATTGAGAGCTGATGATAGTCTATTGGTATAGATTGATCAGAATATCATATTGAGATTTGAATGGTGTAGCTTATTGATAGTGGCAATGGCAATCTATGGTTTAGATTGATCATTATTTGACAGATTTACTTTGGTAACTTGTTTTATAGTAAACTCCTTTGGTTAATACAGTTTTATGGCAACAGTTGGTTTGTTTGCAGGTGTCTTTTGACCTAAGTAAAGTGGTCGGGATGGACAAGTGAAATTTGTATTTCTTTGTTAGTTATATATTGACAGGTAGTGTAAATTCATAAATCGATCATTACTTGACAGATTTCTTTCGGTTTCTCTTTTGATTGCCTGACGATTTTGTAGCAATGTATAGTTTGTTTGTTTTCTGATTATCTCTTGACTTAAATGGAATAGTCAGAATTGACGAGTAAAATAGGTATTTCCTTGTTTTTTTTATATTGACAGATAGTAAGATTCACAATAACGCACGAGGACGTGCGAAACGTCAGAATGGCCATGTCTGAGTATCTAAGACGACAGCACCTGATCAAACATCGTAGTCCACACAGAGTCATTGTTTACACCCTCCAATTCTGCCAAATAACATTGTCAGCACTGGACAACAGACGGCAATACGAGAAACATCGTGTGCTATATCAGGGCAGACATCATTGTTTCCAATGCTGAGCTGACAAAATTGTCAGCACTTGGGAGAACAAGGATGGACATGTTTGCATGATCGTCTCCATAAAATTGTCAGCACTTGGGAGAAACAAGAACGGACATGTTTGCATGATCGGGGCAGCACATCTTCGGAGACTTCAGGGAAGAAGGGTATTCCCCGAACGGGTGGGAGTGGAACACTTCGGCAAGAACATCAGCGGGGATTCAAGCATTCAGATTTAGACTGGTGAACTGGATGGCCACAGTAGCTGAGACTTATCGCTGATGTAGATCACTAGCTCTGAGATTGCAGAAGATAGTATAAGTTTATTAACTATTGTTAGTGGTTATTTGTAATAATGGCTTCTCCAAACGCCTCACTCGGGGAGTAATCCTGACGATTCGACATATATAATCGAGCAGTATCTTATGTATGACTGGGTTTTTCATTGAAATCCTTTATTTTATATACACATCTCTAAAATAATGTTTGTTAGTAAAACAATTATTTATAAAAAAAATTACCCTTGTACTTTTCTTCAATATCTTTTTCCAAAAATTTTCGTAGTGTTAATGTATTAATTAATATCTGTATATTATACAGATCGAATTTCGTTTGTTGAAAGGGTTGCTTAAAGTTAGTACAATTTGCTGGACGTCGTGTATAGTCCGTGTAGTCAAGCAAAGTATGTTAAAGTAGGAGTATAAGTGAAGTTCAATTCAGTAGTTTAATTAGTGTAAGCAGTGCAACATGCATAATAGTTGCTACTTAACGCATAATTAAAATGCGTTTGTGATAGTAAACATAAAGTTAAGTTTGCATCAAATTCTATTTTATAGCGAACTGTTAACAAAAAGTCTTATAGAAAATGGCTTGCCATGTCTGCAATGGTAGTGCAGATCTTACAGATATATTTGATGTTGAGTGGAAGGATATAGAAGGCAATAATTTACCAGCTAGCATAGAGGTCATCATAAGCGTATTGTAATGTGTCATTCCTAAAGGTTGTCCAAGAATTTAATATGATCGAATACGAAACCTTTATAGTGCTAACGTGTCATCTTCCTGGTTTGTATGTTCAGGAATCAAATTATTCATAAACAGACACGTTCGTTTATCTATTCTTAATATATTACGAAGTCTGTAGTTCTATATTTACAGTACATTCTAATATCCATGAGGTAACGGTGTCAGTACTGTGAGTCATGATGAGTCCACATATTTAACAAACATTAATAGAAGACTATTCCACATAAACATGCTGATATTATAATACACATACATTATTTTTGCAGATAACGCCTACAGATGTCCTGTCTACACAAATATGCCCATCTTGCGTGTTGGCCGTCAGAAAGCACATGATGTTCCGATTTGAAAGTTTCAGACATTTGAAAGAAACAGAGGTTACTGATCTTACTCAATACAAATTAATTAAGTTCTAAACTAACATTATTTTATAGGTGCCAATCACTCCGGAGGAAGTTGCCGTATGTCCAACATCAGAAATAAACGGCGGAATAACAGAAATGGCTTGCCGTATGTGCTATAGTACTTCCAATCTACTGAACATCTTCGATTCTGAGTTGACCATTCTTGGCAAGTGCTTGACAACTACCATCGAAATTGTGAGAGGAGATGAGGTCAGTAATTTAATTAATATGTTGGATTATTTTCTAAATACTTGTATATACTCTGACTTAAGCTGAGATTGAAATGTAAATTCATTATTTTGTAGATATCTTTTGACCCCTCTCAAAAAATATGTCAGTCTTGTTTGTCTGCATTAAGGGTATATATGAAAAACGACACTGTGTCTATAAACAAGTTAAAACAACCAGAGGTAATAAATCCGACTAATTCAAGAATGTTTCTCTTCTAAAATTACATTATTTTGTAGGAACCTGTACCGGTCGCCGAATGTACAAGTTCGTGCACAGCAAAAATGTACAATCATGGGACTATTGTCGCTTGTCCGACTTCAGAAGTATCCGAGGATATAACAGTGTGTTGCCACATGTGTTATAGTAATTTAAATCTAATGAACATCTTCGATTCTGAGTTGACCGTTTTTGGCCAAAGCTTGCCATTTGTCATCCAAATTGTGACAGGAGATGAGGTTAGCTATATACTCTGCTAAAAGCTTATTTTATAATGTGAATCTATTATTTTTAGATAACTTTTGATGAGGACCACCCCCAAACAATATGTCAGTCTTGTTTGTCTGCTTTAAGGATATTTATGATAAACAGACCTATCGGCATAAACACCTTGGAACAAGCAGAAGTACCAGGTGTTAATAATATTAAAATACGTGTGTGATAAATTTATTTGATTTTATCGTTGCCTGTAGAGGACGGTGCCGAAAATCCAACTTCAGGAGTAACCAACGACATATCAAATATGGTTTGTCGTATGTGCTACAGTACTTTGAATCTGATAAACATCTTCGATTCTGAGTTGACCATTTTTGGCCAGAATCTACCAGTTATCATCACATATGTGACAGGAGAAGAGGTTAGTTAATGAATTCTGGATGAATATTGGTTTATTTTCTAAAAATATATAATATAATGCTAACTTTATACTGTAATTCCTCCATATTTTAGGTAATTTTTCATGATGAACTCTCGAAAAAAATATGTCAATCTTGTTTGATTGCTTTAAGAATATATATGAGACATAGCGGTTTAGTGTATAACAACTTGGAGCAATAATTGGTATCTGATCTTACTAAATCTAAAATATTTCCTATCTAACATTGTATTTAATGAATAAGTAATAAAGTTATATGTTTTTCCCAGAATTCCCATACGACAGTCACAGTTTTTTTTTTCATTGAAAATCCGTACATTTTGATACAGTCAATGATTGTATGTGAATTGTACGGTGGGTTATATAAATTCTAATAAATATTAATCGTGATATATCGTGAGCGGTCAGGATAATTAATACTGTTGTATTGAGTATTGTAAATAGGCTTTGATATGGAATCTCCTATGATAATATGAAAAATAATTAAGTTTCTGATATAAATAAAGCAACGGATATTTTTTTACAAAAAATGTCAAAGTTCTTTAGTCAATCACTGAATGAATTTATATTTTTTTTTATTAATGAATTAATATTGTGATTATCAATAACTTTAAATTAAAAACTTTCTCTTCTTTTTTTTATGCTTTTTGCAACGAATTTAGTTGTAAAAAAGGTATAATCTCATACGATTGAAATTCTTATACCATCGTCCATGCTCAGCTAGGGTATATTTTCCAACAATTAATGTTACGATCGTCCGTATGACTGAAGTGCAATGTAGATTTCTACTTAATTAGTTTACGCCATTCAACATGCACAGTAGTTGTATATAAACTTAATCAAAACAATAATAAATTTCAAATATTTTGTGTTGGTAATAGTGACACATATTTAAGTTGGCATCAAATTGTCGTTGCAGTTAAAATGAAGTTCCGTTTCTGCAAAAGTGGTGAGAATCTCACCGAGATATTGTATGATATTGTACTCAATGATGGAAAAAATGGAATTGTTGTCTGGACATTGGCTAAGTTATTATTTTGAATGCCAGCACCTTCTCAGATATCTCTTACTGGATGTATAGACATCCATATAGTGTAACAGCAGATGTCGAATATAATCGTACGCAGAATAATTCGCTTAACGACGTAGTCGTCGGAACAGAACTCGGTGTTTGCTCCATAATGGATCTATTATATAATATTATTTAAGAAAAAAAAGGACGATTTATAAATGTAATTCGATTATTTTATAGATTTGGCCCAACGATGGCAAGTACATCAAAATATGTTCATTATGCAATGCCCGTATGCAGAAGTTGTTTAAGTTCAGGTTCGAGGAAGTTAAGGTTACTGATGTAATAAATTTAAAATATGTATTTGCTGAAATATTATTATAATTTTGTAGCGGATGTAGCGCATCAAAGAGGAGAAAGAGAGCAAGGAGGAGGAGGAAGAAAACGTGGATGATGATGAAGAGAGCATGGAGGAAGAGGAGGAAAGCAAGAAGGAGATGAAGAGCAATGAAGAAGAGTAATAATGGGTCTAAATGTATGTGATTTGTACTGTGAGTTGCATAAGTTCCAATATATTAATCGTGATGTCATGCGCGGTCATGGTATTTTTTTCTTCTGTGTTCTTTTTCTACCCCCTTGGTGTTTAACGGTCCCCACAATGTTTTGTTCGTGAGGTTCGAACCAACTTTTTTGTATCGAATTTTCGTGATACAAGCTACTACAACCACACGGCTACGGCCGCCCTATCTGGGTAATTAATATTATCTATTGATATGGAATCTGGCATAATAATATGAACAAGCATTAAGTTTCTAATTATATATATAAAGCAACGTATAGTTCTTTCTAGAAATGTGAAGGTTAAAAAATGATCATTTCTGATTACAATAACTGATGATTATGTTGTTCTATGATAATAAACTACTGATTTTGTCATTTTTAATCAATCACTGAATTAATTTCTCATTTTTTATTAATTCAAAGTATTGTGATTATCATAATCTGTTGATGCTTTCTCCAACGATCTTAGTAGTAAAAAAAATATAGAATAAAGTTTATCTTTAGATTGGGTTGCATAATCTCAAACGATTGTAATTCGTATGCCGTCGTGCATGCTCGGCTAGGGTATATAGTCCAACAATGAATGTTACGGTCGTCCGTATGAATGAAGTGCAATGTAGTAGTATGCTTAGTATTCAGCATTCAACATGCATAGTAGTTGCGTATAAATTTAATTGAAAAAAAATCTTTTTTTTTTGCGTTGGTAATAGTGACATATAGTTAGGTTGGCATCAAATTTCCGTTATATTTTACCGCCAAAAGTTGATGGTACAGTGTTAAAATGCCTTGTCGTTTATGTGATGGTGGTGAAGATCTCATCGACATTTTTGATGTCGAGTGGGAAGAAATTGGCGGATATAATTTTTCGGCGACAATCGAAGTGATGACCGGTATTTGCGTAAGTTATTATTTCATTAATTTTTTTAATGCACGAGCCGCATGTTGCCGACCTCTGGTATATAGTAACATTCATGAGGTGATGGTCTTGTTATTATTTTTTGATTACTAGGTGCCACTCTATAATGGATCTCTTATATAATATTATTTGAAAAACTTGCTGATTTATGAATGTAATTTCATAAAATTACAGATTACGCCTAACGATGTCCTCTCTACCAAAGTCTGTCCAACATGCATACAGGCTGTCCGCACGCATATGAAGTTCAGGCTGAAGTGCTATAGGAAAATGAAGGAAATCGAGGTTACTGGTGTTATAAATTTAAAATATGTTCTATTTGCTAAAATTTTATTATTTCTTAGGTGCCTGTAGCTGTCGAGGAATTCGTAGAGGTTACTGATGTCATACACTTAAAATACGTATTTGCTAAAATGTCACTATTTTGTAGGAACCTATGGAGGAAATCGCCGAATATGGCGAACCCAAGATGAAATCGAAAAAGAAGAAGAAGAGCAAGAAGGATAAGGAAAGCAAAGAGGAGGAAGAGAGGAAGAAGAAGGAAGAAATGAAGAAACAGGAAGAGGGGACGATGGAGGAGGAGAGCAAGAAGGAGAGCAAGAAGAAGAGAAAGAAGAAGGAGAGCAATGTGGAGGAAGAGATCAAGGAGGTGGAAGAGAGCAAGGAGGAAGAGAGCAAGAAGGAGAAGAAGAGAAAGAAGAAGAAATGTAAGGATGACGAAGAGAACAAGGAGGAGGAGGAAACCATGAAGGAAGAAGAGACCAAGATGGAGGAAGACACCAAGAAGGAGCGCAAGAAGAAGAAAAAGATCAAGGATGAGGAACAGAGCAAGAAGGAGGAAGAGCAGAGCAAGGAGGAGGAACAGAACAAGAAGGAGGAAGAGAGCAAGAAGGAGCGCAAGAAGAAGAAGAAAAAAAGCAAGGAGGACGAAGAGAACAAGGAGGAGGAAGAGACCAAGAAGGAAGAAGAGACCAAGAAGGAAGAAGAGACCAAGAAGGAGCGCAAGAAGAAGAAAAAGATCAAGGAGGAAGAGAGCAAGGAGGAGGAACAGAGCAAGAAGGAAGAAAAAGAGAGCAAGGAGGAGGAAGAATGCAAGGAGGAAGAGAGCAAAGAGGAAGGAGAGAGCAAGAAGGAGCGCAAGAGGAAGAAGAAAATCAAGGAGGAGGAAGAGAGCAAGAAGGAAGAAAAACAGAGCAAGGAGGAGGAAGAAAGCAAGGAGGAAGAGAGCAAGAAGGAGCGCAAGAAGAAGAAGAAAATCAAGGATGAGGAAGAGAGCAAGAAGGAAGAAGAAAGCAAGAAGGAGCGCAAGAAGAAGAAGAGCAAGGAAAAGGAAGAAAGTAAGGAGCAAGAAGAAGAGCATGGAGAGCTAGGAATAATAAGTTAGAATTAAAGGAATATTAGTTATTTTGTTATGTTCGATTTGTAATTTAAAAAATTAGTCAATTATAAATCCGTCCCTAAGGTTATTAAAGTTATTATTGTTTTCAATTTATTATTAGAAATATTAATAATGTTAATTAGAATTAGTTTATTATTATGTCGATTTAATTAATGAAGTACTTATTATGTTGTCAATGTTGTAATTATTAGCAAAAGTATTGTTATGATGTTAATTAATAAATAGTAATTTTGTATTTTGAAATATTATTCCCTTGTAAAAATAAGAAAGTGAAAGCAGCTATGTTAGCGATGGAAAAGAGAAATAATAATTAATCAATTATTATGTTAGGCAAAATAATAAATATGATTACCAATTACAAAGTTTATTTTATTAGTCACAAATTACTTGTTACATCAATCCTGAATATTTTTTTTTATTGAGAAACTCAATTTAAAAATGAAAAACATTACCATAAATGTGACATTATATACCTTATATAGAGAAGCTTTTATATAATATAACAAGATTATTCTTATATAGGAATTCAACATAATTAAGGAAGACCATATGTTATTATAAAATTATCTCCGAATTTAATAATGTAATTAATAATGCTTGTACTTTGTAACAAAAAATGTTCATTCTCCTCTTTGTTGCTGTTTCTTCAAACTGACTATTTGATGTGTATGTTGGATTGCATAACCTTTTATTTCGGGGTGTAAATCTTGGTCAATCATGCGCTGTTGCGTACTTACTTCTGAACAAATTGTTATAACATTATAGGTTAACGATAAAATGGCTAAAAGCTTCGTAAAATTTGGTAAGTTAAATTGATTTATTTAAATATTGGTTGGGAACAATAGTTAATATTTTGATTTTGTAAGCTTTCGCCACAAAAATGGTTTGTCGTTTGTGCTCTGGTTGCGAGGATCTCGTAGATATTTTTGGGCCAGATTGTTACGCTATGGAGGGAATAACATCAAAAAATGTTCAAATTACTACAGGAGTAAAAGTAAGTGAATTGCCATATATTATTGTTATATTACAAAAATATCATCTTTACAAGGAGTGGTCGTTGTTGCATTTTGAGCACAAATTTCCGCCATGATGATTATACATATTAACCAAGCGCGGGATGTGACGCAACGATCACATCCCATATGCGCATGGATGCTATGCTTGAGCCGCATCCATGGACAGACCGCGCCTGATTTTTAACTTTATGTAATACTATTAGAGAAATGATTTAACGCAATTATTTTTGCAGATAACACCGACTGATCCTATTGGCTCATACCTCTGTTCGAAATGTATAAAAACGGTTCAAAGATTTATAGAATATAGGAATAATTGTTGTCAGAGGAGCGCACAACTAAAAGTAACTGAAATGAATGAATTAAGATTTTTAAGCTATAATTATATTCATTTTTAGATTGCAGCTGGTCTTGAACCCGAGGAAGAGCAATCAGCTGACCAAATAATTGAGAAAAACGAGAAACTCTGGAGAAAATTATATACAATACTGGAGGAAGAAGAAGACGAAGCCATCGAAATGAATTAATAATATTCATTTTACTTATTTTATAGATTTTGATTTAATTATTATGTCAATCATGTTTTATCATAATTACCCAAGGTTATTTTGTAGGTATTGTTTTAACGAAATAGTAGAATTTTTAATCCGTCCTTCAAATTATTATAGATTCTGTTTTTAATAGTAATGAATATTCATTACTATGTTGTCTATTATAAATATTAGCTAATAAATTTCCGTTTTTTTTTTATTATAATTTGTTTGAATTATTTATTTATATTTAACCTGTATATTAAAATACAGTCAATTAATATTATAATTGTTAATCAGATATAGATTTATAAATGTTCTCTGATTGCATTGATTTCCTATAATTTTTTGAACGTATCTGCTGCATCAAAATCCCTACACTGAATATTGTGCAATTTTCGGAATTTGCGTTCAATTGAAGTGAGGATTGGACCTAAATATGGGTGCACTAGGGGTTGAAAAATGAGGGATTGTAATCAGTGCGCGTTTCATTATTCGAGTGAAGCTTTTCGCTTGGTGCGGTTCGCTGTGAATGGCAAAGAGCTGAAGAAACGAAGAACAAAAGAAAAGTCAAACAAACAAAAGAAACGGTTATAAATATGATCCCTACTTTTCGCGGGGTTCCCGAGTTTACGAATTATCCGGCTCATTTAAAGCGCCCCTTGAACATTTTTTTTGCTTCTGTTTGTTCTTCACGTTCTTATTTATTTACTTTTTTTCCATCGTTTCGTTGAAATCGGACACACAAATTTAATTGAATCCCCGGTCTGCGTATAAATAAGTGAAAAAAAAATTAAGTTAAATTCCCACCCCTATATTGTGTGTTCTTTGCAAACGCACATATCCCGTGTGTGTATGTTGGATCATTTATTCTGGTACTGAAGTTAACGCAAGCGAGCGAAGTTTTCTAGGGGCGCGCAGGGTGTGCTGCGCCCATCCTCACTCTCGCCGGCTAAATTATTTTATACTATTTATTGTTTAATTATGTTTCGAGGGGCGGCGAGTGCGAGATAATAGTGGAAATGTTGCCGAAATAAAATTCTGGTGAAATTGCCGCGTAATTTATTTTACGCGCCCCCAACATACATTATTTTTAAAAGTACCGAATACCGTTTCACAACAGAAACCGGAAACGAAAACTTATTTTACTATAATAAGTTAGTCGGAGCTTCTGAAATCACTGACATTTTGTTTATGTTTCTGTCATAATTGAATATAAATAATCCAAAATTAATATAAATTTTTGATAATTGTTTTGGAAAATGTAAAGAAATCAATCTTTGTTAAAATATTTATAATATAATGTAAAAAAAAATCTGTTTTTTTTCAGTATAATAATGAATACAATAAAGTGAAAAAAAAAATACTAATAAGAAATATTTATCGTGTGAGTAAATAATCAAGAAATTATTACTTTTATTATGAACGCAATACTTTTTTTGTTCTTATAATTAATAGTTTTCAAAATGAGAATAATATAAAGAATCCAATATTTGTTAAAAAAAAGAAGTTTTTTCATATATTTTTGTTTCAGTATTAATAGTGAATGCTTGAGTCGGTTACGTTCCTGACCTACCGTTGAATGTACGAGCTTTTAAGCGCCCGGAAATTAATATAATTCAGTGGTCGGGAACTTCGATACCTGCAATTTCGCTTCGAAAAGTGGTAATTTTAATTAAGTCCTATTGCAATGAGCATATTAAAAGCCGAGTTTCGGTGGTATTTCAAAATATCTAAGTTATCCACGAAAATGAATATCTCCTCCCCGGTAGTTTATATAAATTTACCTTAGAGATTATCGCAAAGTTTAGACGTGAACGCTTCTGATGTAGAATAAAGCGGAGATATTGCGGCTCCTTTCAACTAAGTCGTTAGAAAATATTTGTCAAAATAAAAAAGAAAAGAATAAAGGACAAGTTGCATTATGCCCTTAATATCAAAACTTAATTAAGGGAAGTTTGTAATTAATATCATTTGTAGTTAATTTATTTTCATTTATCAATTTTTATCTTCGATTTCAAGCTTGATAGTTTTTTAAAGAAAATTTAACCTTTTTTTGTCAACCGCTGTCCTTTCACAATGTTTTAAGTATCAATATGTTATTCATAAATGCGATGACGTTTAATCTGAATGAATTCAATTGAATAATGTATGTTCCAAAAGAAACAAATAGATAGAATAAAAATATGTTCAAAATAGAAAATAATTGAAAATCTGTGTGAAGTAGAGTTTCCCTTGAAACGTAGTCAATTCAGCGACGGATATTAGATGGAACGAAATAAATTGGGGAAATGTATCTATAGTTGGAATATCTATTATGTTTGGAGATCTGAAAGAAATTTAACACACGATTGGCCAAGTATTCTTGCAGAAAGGTTGGTTCTAATCGTTGTTTTCACCAAATCACTTCCATATTTTCTTAATAATAACAAAAAAAAAAAACATAAAATTTTCAATATCATTTAGTAAATCATTAAATTAATAATAGAAATTTAATCCACAATTAAAGAGATTTATTTATTCAGAAAAAAAATACTTTATTATATTTTTTTATCGAATGTTATAAAATAATTTCAACTCAAATTTTACTATAATTATAAGATATTTTTGTATAATTTCTATGTTTTTGAATTATTTAAATTTTAGTTTTGAATTTTCTAAGTCGAGAAACAAAATTGTTTAACTATAGTTTTCTAGTTGAATTTTATAAAATTATCAGAACTTTTTAGTATGTTAATTAAATGTATAATTTACTGTATTTTATTGTTAATAATCTATTTTCAACATTTCTAAATTAAAAAAAATGTTCAGTTTTTCTCAGATGAGTGGAAAATTATTTATGATTCACTTTATACTTAAAAATTTCACTATTTTTCACAATTCACTGTTTGTTTTTAAATCACTATCACGGTACAGATAAAAACAACTTTTGCTAAGAAATTCACTGTATATTTATAAATAAATAATATTAATTTATAAATTTTATATAATTATAAATGATTTGCTTATACAAACGAATAAAGTAATTATTTCAGTAAATTTATGTGCAATTTCAGTAATAAATTTACGGATTTTTTTTATATTACAATTGTTAGCGAAGAAAACATAAAGTATTTTAGTGGACAACATTTTGCAAATAATTAATGCTAAAATTATTTTATTATAAGAAAATAATTATTTATTGCATCAAAATAAATTATTTAATTTCTATTTAATATTAAAATAATCATTGAAGAAGTAAAAAAAGATATATTAATAATTTGAAATAATAAAAATTTTCACTGAACGTTTAAAGGAGTAAAAGTGATTAAATGTTGTGAAGATCCAATTAGGTTTGAGAAAAATGTAATTACCCGGAAGGAAACAAAAAAGGGATGAAGATAAACCAGTTTATGAGCTCTGTGCGCTGATAAAATTGAGCGTGCCGCGTTTTTGAAAAGGATTCTATTAGGGAAAATGGTAACTCTATGTATGTATCGGATCTCTTGCTCAGAACTTGTTAAGAGAATCTCTCGGCCAGACTGAAATTTCTAGTCCGTGAATATTTAGCGGTAAGAAAAGCAAAGTAACAAAAGTTGAAATAACTGACGTTCGGTTTATGCAATTAGTTGGAAAAGTTGATGCAACAATTCTTGTTTGCTAATAAAAGTCGGCAAATATATAGTGCGCTAATTGAATGAGAGCTTATGAAATTTTGATAAGCGCGGAATTTGTTCAGGATGGCCGAAGGCATCGTTTTCGTATTGGGTAAATAAGTAAGGTTTTCTGGGACTTACAGATGTTTGCTGTCGGTTGTTTGTGGGGGGTGAGTTAACAGTAGAAACTGCTGGAGTTGGAGCTGTGCGTCTTCCGGGTTGGAGGGCGCGCGCTTCTCTTCACTGGGGGTGGCTGGAAGGTCTGCTGTTGCTTCGGTGGCTGGCAGCCGGAGAGTAACGCGAAAACTGGAAGCTGCAAGCGCGCCGACCAAGTGTTCGCGGAGGAGTCTTTGGGCGCATGCGAACCATGGATCCGTGAATGGTCGTTAATTAGGAAACTGGACTGATTGACTACAACTACTATCGAAGATGATAAGCGGGGGTTGTCTTAGGCGAGGCAAAAGTGGTGGCGGGGGAAAGGCTGGTAACGCGCGGAAAAGAATGCTCGCGGCCGCATCGGACCTCTCAGATTTACGACTATGGGCTCCGTGTAATGGACTTTCCATGCTCCTACGGAGTTTTATGTGGCTGCCCGCCATATAATGTGCACAGATTGCCTCACTCTAGTGCACCTTAGGCTTTTCCTGATGGTGTATACCTACCTACCTAGCCTTCGCGCGAATCAATCCTGACATGCCGATACTAATAGTACATACCTTTTACTGTTCCCGTCATCGGAAAACTTTCCCACTTCCTCTACATTGACCCATCAATTCAATTGCTTCATTCAACCACTTATTTATCCAATCAATATATAAAAAAATAAAAATTAAATTCAGTAAATGTATACACTTATACTACACAACATTTTAACAAACATCCACTATTTTCCTATGCTTCTTCTATATAATTTAACATACATGCACATATGTATAATAATGAATTTTGCACCCAGACAATGTTCATAATCATTAAGTGAATAACACTAATAATTCTTATTATTAATTTTCCTTACATTTGATAATAATATAGTATAATTATAAAAAAATAACTTATAAATTGTACACAACACAATAACAGAAGTAATAAATTGTATTTGGTTGAAAACGTAAATAATAAAAGCTAGTAGAATATTGCATTAAATTAGAAAACATGAATTTCCATGTGTTTATTTTATATACGTTGTGCGGCGCATCTATCATAATTATACAAATTCGAAAAAATAAGCATAAATTTATGAACTCGATAATAATTAAAAATACGAGAGTTGGGATTTTGTTTACATATATTTTGTTTTATATAATTTTACAAGTTACTAATTATGTCGCAATCTTAAATCTATATACATTTTCTTCATTATTTTGACTAGAAAAATAAAAAGTTTCAAATGTGATATTAATTTTATTTAAATTTATAAATTATTAATTAATTTCTTAATTAATAATAATAATTAATTGACCAGATAATAGCAATAAAAAATATAAAATAATATCCCGGCGCATCCGCCGTGAAGGTACGTTATATTTGCGGGTTGATTCGAATTAGCACGGCGTTTGTAAATCATCCGGGTCGTCGGATCGTGGTGGAATCTGGCACCGTGTATGGGTTGTAAATCTGCCAGCAGCACACGTCGGTCAGGCCATACCCATCGGCCCATATTTATTCGGGCCGCGGTCAAGTCTTGCATCCACACAGGTCGCGCGACCTCCCAAAAAGGAAGTGCATAATCGCCGACGGCCGAGCACTTAGCGTTCAGCAACTTTGTTTCGCAACTGAACGAAACCTCAAAAAAAAGAAATGATGCAAAAAAAAATATTGAATGGAACAAAGAAACGCGAGAAGTATGGTAAAGATGAGGGGAGAGACAGAGAAGGAAACCGGAGAAGCAGTCGCGTGCATTTAATATACGCGAAATTGGAGCGGCTGCAAAACGAGAACATAAACATGAACTTAACCAAACTTTATATAAATAATAACAACAATGGATCCATTCCTGAGGAGCGAAACAGAGAGCGTTTCTCATGGAACCGCGCCTTGCTTCGAATGGTTTAATTAAGCCATCCCTTCACTGCAAATCTAACCTGCACTACGGTTTTCCTTTATTGAACTTATCCGAAACAAAGAAATCATATTTAATTAGATAGTTTTTTTTATACATGGTACTAATTTATTTTTATTTATTTGATGACAAGTTAAAATTAATAAGACGAAAAAAAATATTAAAAGTTATGTAATAAAGAAAGCAATCAAAGTTGAATAGTAGCTATAGAATGGTGCTTAGTCTCGACATTTTCTTGATTCCAGGGACACGAGACCCCGGGATTTCTCGGGGCTCAAGAAATTAAAAAAAAAGTCAAAAATTAATAAAAGACATTAATTTGTCCCGAGAATTCCTGGTTCAGCTTCCTTAGTTAATACAGTGGGTTGTAATTGAGCATACGCTAATACGGTATGAAATAAATTTTATTTTGTTCGAGCAGGACTAGAATTGTCCTGTCAGGCAGCGACGCCCTCGCATCCAGTTACCGGACACAATGACCCACATGTGGGCATGTTTCCAGAATCAAAAGAAACAAAATGGAAGAGAATAGAGAGAGAGAGAGAGAGAAAAAAAAACAGGAAGCAGCAACAACATATAGAATGCGAGGGTGAAATGAAAACGAAAATAAATAATTAAATGAATACCCTAGAGGGTGAGTGAGTGAATGAGATATAGTTAGAGAGGGTGAGAGAATAAAAAAAATAATTTCCTGTGGATGCGTTTAAGGGTCTCCTGCACTGCGACGTTCCATTAAAAGATGATAGTGTAGTTTGATAAGTTCTGTGAAATTTGAGCGATGCATTATTTGTTTACCGGATTCTAAACGACAATGGGTAACGAATTTCAACTAGCGGTAATTGAAAACACAGGTAATTAACGCAAACTGAATACTGGCGACACGACACGACAGTCGACAGTGATGCGACCCCTCTGGAACTGTGGCCGAAGTTAATTAGACACTAGTTGTGCAAACTTGAGGATGTATCATCATACGGTCAAATGAACGGAAACTTTTAATACGGATTCTTTCACATAGTACTTTCGCATTCTATTGCTATGGAGACCGGAAGCATCCCTCTCGCATTCATTCATTCAATTTTCACACATAGAAATATACTTTAAATGCATCCGCATGCAGCGAGGGTATTCTCACTGCGCCACGTTACGCTCCGCAAACGAACAAATGCTAAACAAATAACGCTCATCCATTAACCATCGAATGTTCCAACTATCCAACATACTCTATTTCTTAACATTACGTTTAGTTTTATTTTATCCCATTTTCTATTACATCACAAAACGAATTTCAATCTACAGTTTAGTTTTCTTATTTTTTTTAATGATAATATCTTATGATGTGTAATGTGTAATATATGTAATGAAAAGAAACAAAATATAATACATTTTATTTTTTGTTGTTATAATTTTGCCTCATTTAAAGTTTGTGTATATAAGTTTACCTTAACTTGTTTCATCAACGCCACTTATTAAACTTTGATCGTAATATTTATTACGGAGGAAGATCAGTTACTTCTATGCTTTTAGAACTACCGACATTTACAAGTTTCAAATTGTTTTTATACAATAAGTAAATCTATTATTAATTTCATAATATTACAGTTTTTTTTTCTTCTTTCAGAATTAATTCTGATATTTACTATATATTTTTACAATAAAACGTGGATATTTGTAATCGATTTGTTTTATGTATTTATAAGACGCACGTAATCGATTATAAAAAATATTGTATTATAAATATTTCGTGCGTCTTATAGTTCGATTCTAAATTAATTAATATGAAAATAATTAATTATTATTTAGTATTTAAATTTGATACATTGAATAAAATTTAGTTTTAACGTTGCTTAAGGAGAGTAAAAAAATTATAGAGCTGTGATGATTAATAGAGAAGAAATCATTTTGGCTCTGATTTCGAGGGTGGGAGAGAAAGGAAAATAAATAAAACATATAAATTACGTTGGTCTTTTTCTCCGTTGGTCTTGTAGAAAATCTTGTCTAATTCAATAGTCTTGAATGGGAATATCTCATGAGGAACAATTTTTCATGGCCATCATCCATCATGGGAGAGGAAGAAGTGAAAAAAAAAATATTTATAAGAAGGAAGGCACGCAAGACGCGTAGCAGGCGGAAGCGAAGAAAACGGAGAAGATAAAAAAAAGTAAGAGCGAAAGAACGGAAGAAGAGAGAAAGAGAGAGAAAAAGTGAACGGCGAACGACGAGGGCCGTAATAATAATAGTAATGGGGGCGTATGTGAAGCAAAATGGTTATTGATGGTAATATGTTCGGGGTTGCGGGTTGCGTTGTAGTGGCGTAGCGCCGCGGAGAATGTAATAGTGAATAAATTTGTTATGTACGTTGGGACAATTTGTTTCTCTAATGGGGGAATGCCATTATAATATGATCGGGTCCTTGGCTGTATATGCGAATATGGGTGGCCACAGTCGGAACAACGGGGTGGCGGCGCGGCCGAATCCGCAGTCCATCAGAGCTATGGCACACTGGGGAAATTCGGCATTCATGATGTGATTCGGTGTAGTTGCTGGCATCAATAACTGTGGGTGTTTGGGTGTACGGCGACCGATGCAATCACTCCCGACAGCGATATGTACTAATGCCCTAAGGAGTGACAATATTCATGCCCAGTGATCAACGCTATTATTATGGATCTCACACCAAAAACGCATCCAGAGGTATAGTCTATCGCCTTGTTCTACACAACCTTCCGCAACCTCGTTTTTGTCCTTAGTCCATTCCACTCGAATGGTAACGACTATTACCGACTATCCTACAATAAAGCTGAGATCACTATAAGCTTCGATTACTATCATCCCCTGTTAACACAGTTTTTACAGACAACTTAATTGGACCCTCATCCTACTCTCACACATAAAACACACATATATATAGCTCAAATAATATTTCATTGAGTATGTGCAACATTGTTGGCTCATGACCTACCTCGTTACGTGCACACACGAACAATCCTTGATAAGTAGGTTAGGTTCAGGCTTGGCCTCATGGGCTCGTCGATTCCATTTGCCTACGTTTTGTCAACCTCAACCGACGTTGCTCCATTATCCCATTCGCTTTCCGTACTTCAAAAACAATCTCAATTACAATAAATTTGATCACACAAACAGGAGATATACCATGAACATATTCTTCTTTTTTATCTCTGTTAAATTAAATACACCCTATCTAGTTGCACCTGTTTCCCATATGCTTTTAACAACTTTGTCTAGACTCACTTTCCCGAGGTGTTCCAACCACAATAACCAAAAAAAATATATTGATTTCCTAT